ACTCGTTGTTGCTACGATGAAATTCATGAACATGCAACATTTTCTACTGAATTGGCCTTAAAATTGCCCCTTCTTTTTTTTCGTTTTTTTTTTCTGTTCTGTTATGTTTAATTATTTCTTTCTTTTCATATTCTTTTCTCGTTCTATTTTTTGCTGGTGTCTTGTTGGCAAATTTTATACGAGGCATGACACTTTTTTCTTCTTCATTCTTTCCTTCTTTCTTTTTTTATAATGATTCACAAAAGAATTGTTATTTAATCTATCGTGTACTCCATGAACCTCATACATCAAGCAAATGATCTCATTTGGTCAGATCTGTTATTTTGGAATCTGCTGTACTAGAAATAGACCAATATAAGAACAAGTTAACGTACTTTGCCCTTTATAAGATTTTCTTTTGCTTATTACATATATATATATATACTTTATACTTACGGGTCAAATCGAGAAAAACAAAAATGAACTGACAGTTCCTAATGATTGATAAAGTGTAGAAAAGACATGATGATAACTTATTCGAATATTTTATTATACTAAAAAGAGATGATGTATAACTATGCTAATTAAAACTATGAATAACAAACAATTTCTGGTGTATACAATCCCTTATATTATTAAATTTTTCTATAAGCAAGTACATATAAAGCGATTTCTATTTAACATACTATATCATTAATGTTAAGCATAATAACAAGCAGCATATATTATAAATAAATATACATACATCAAAAATTCATGCACTTTTATTTTAATAAAATTGTTCGGACATATCTTTCAAGAAAAATATTGATACACTTTTTCTTCGAGCATATTCTAATGATTACTTCCTCACATATCGAAAAACAACGTACAAAAAAAAAAAAGGAAAGTAAATAATATTTATATGTACACCTATATGTATATAATCATGAGATTCTTTATCTATTTGACAAGCAATCATCCGTGCAAACATGAAAACCTTTAAAAAAAAAGTGACGTATAATGTTTTCATTTTAGTATATATCATGATAATAGTCACATGATATTTATTCTATATTGGCATGATTTTATGTCTTAATTATATCTACTAACAAAGGCAAAAGAAAATAGTCATTTGTATTGTAACAACGACTACTACTCGTCATTTACTGCTTTTTGACCGTCTTTTACTATTGTAAGGATAATAATAACAACATATGCGTCTCAAAGTAAACAGCATGAGTTTGAAGGTTCTAATAACAAAAAATGTAAGAAAGGATTTCTTTTTAAATAGAAATATATTTAGTAAAAAATATCAAATAGAAGAAAACATTGATCTTTCATAAATATAAGGAATTATGTTATTCATCACCTCGTATCAATGATGCAGATTTCAGCACTCTTGTATTGGTCAAAAAAGCCAGTTGAAAAAATTATCACAGTTGACATTAAGCTATTTGTTTACTTTGAATAATTATATTTACTAAGTTTTAAGTCACCAATTATATCATTATGCATTCTAACATCTAGTAAGTCTAGTAAAAGCAAATCCTTTTTTTTTTAATAATTTGCATTATTCGTCTGATTTCTTTTGGTTTCGACGTATAAAGTCAATATCTATGCTTGCGAGAAAAAACCATTGCAAGGCCGATTTTCGTACTCGATTTACCTTCTTTTCGATTGAACTATTTTCACGATTTAATAATTGCATTATTCCAATGTTTTTAGTCGATAGATTGGCCAACGAATCAAACAGAAATGATTCGTACTCCAATATGCAAAACACATCAATCATTTCATTATGCCTATTCGTGCTTCAAAGTATTATTAGCATGCTCAGCAAGAGCTTTTTCTTATTTTCTCCTTATTTAATTATTCCATAAAAGTAGCCAAATAATTATTATTCTTTCTAAAAAGCAATGTATTTACTACAATGGAGGCCAATTAAGTTTCTCTTTGTTTGTTTTTTACTACTATATTTCATTTATTCCTTAACATATTCTATTCAGCAAAAATGTATGAAATGCAGTTGATGTAAAGCTAGCATAAAAATTAACGAGATGCACGATACACTCAAGCATAAACTAATCAGAAATACCGAATAAAGCAAAATGTCTATCATATACCCATATGCCTTACTTAGATACAAAAGCAAAATGCAGTTAAAATGCCTTTGAAAATAATCCAGATAACAATAAACATAAAAGTCGACACTCGGTATGTAAGAAAATAATGCTCGAATTATAAAAGATTGATGCAAATAAATAGTTTATTATTTTGTATTGTAAAATATTTCTATCAATCAATAATTACCGGCAAATCTCAATATGTTTATTCGATAGCAAAACTGAATGTTTCTATCGATAAATGTAATTCTTATTTTCTGAACATTAATCACAAAAAAGAAAAAAACTCTTACCAATGTGATATCATTACACTATATAATCCATTAGAGTACCAAAATTGATCGCCTGATGATTATTCAAATATGTATGGTAATTCTCAACAGATGCAATAGATTGAGAGTTCGATTCTCTATCGACTGGTATCTTTCTTATTGACTTGAAATACATGAAAAAAGAGCAATATTTTCTCTAGTGTAGTAATATCACCATGTGTGATTCATTAGAAGTTTTGTTTCTGATCATTATAATATATTCGGCACTTTTAATGATATGCGTTTGATGTAGAGTTCAATTGTTTCTACAGTGATAGTGCACTTTGTAAGAGAAATATCATCATCCTAGACAATTATACTAGTATCGAAACTGTCTCTTCTATTATCATTAGTTCATTTTCAGTAATTCAAAGAATTTCAGTTAGATGCAAAATTAAACTCTCAATCAATCAATATCGATTTCATGTGGCAAATATACTCTAAAGATGGGGAATATACTATTTATTGCATCATCATCACTAATGGATGGCGTATAAATAATGAGGCACTTTTGTAATCAATCTTTTTGCTGTTTTATGTAATTGGTAAAAATTTCAGAAAAGATTCATTCGATAGAGAATTTAATTCTTAATAGAAACTGATATTTAAAATTTGCAAAACTCAATTATCTTTGAAACAATATTCAAAATATATACAGATGTGAATTTCAAAACCGCGTCATACCCTTTCCATTTTGTTCATCAATGCTATAAGGTGCTACTTGGAACAAATATATTCAACACTTATATATAACTGTACAGAAAAATTTTGTTTTCTACCAATTCAACTAGTCTTTCTTAATACTCGCATACACTCATAACCCCTTATTGCACTAGTATTTTGTTTTTAGTAAACTTTCAAAGTTTTTATTTTGAAATGAAAAACTGTCGAATTGAATTCTGAATAAATTGGTAGAACTATAACTCAGAATTCATTGAACTTTTGTAGGTAGACAGTCAAAAATTCGAAAAGTGTGAAAGATGGATATATAAGTACGTGTTTATCTTTTAGATCTATCATACTTGTTAAATTCGAAAAGTTTTCTAACTTAAAAACGAAGTTCCCAAAAATACATAGTCAAATACAAAATTTCAGAAGAATTTTCTGATGATGTCAAAATTTATAGAGAATTAACAAATGATATGGAAAAGAAGTCTTTCAAATTTTAAGCAAACCCCATTTTGAAATTCACGTCTGTACGTATTTTGGATAATGTTCCGAAGATACTTAAACCCTGCAAATTTCAAGTAACAGGCTTTCTAAAGAATTAAATTCTCTATCGAATAAGCTCTTTATTGGAATTTACACCGATTACATAAGACAACAAACTTCGATTACAAAAAAGTACTTTCTTATTTCTGCATCACTTGTTATATATATATATATATATAACTAATTAATAGGCAAGAAAAATTATGTTTGGTATTCATTCAAGCATATCCAAAAGTTGAAACTTGTAACGACGAATACAGAATGAGCTCCTACATTGAATACACCTGTTTTTATTCACTGCATGTCCTTGAATAATTAGAAAAGCTGTTTTTTTTTGTTGTTAGTTATATATAGTGATACTACTTTATTTGAAAAGAAGCATATTACTTTCAGAAGCATATCTAGTTAATGAATTGAATCTTATTTACATAAAGCTTTCAATTCTACATCTGATAAAATCTGCTTAGAATCACCGAACCTATTTCATTGATCAGGCAAGACGTCTTTTTTACAACTGTAACGGCTGTTTATCTTTAATTACTCGTCCGATAGCATGCTGGCTAAATTGTGACATACAACTGCTCTTGTGGCTAGCAGATGGTTAGTTAGTACGTCTAGTGAGCTCAAGCTATTGAACACAAGAACTCTACATTAGACTGATCTCCTGTCCAGAGCTACAGTTAGTATTAGTTGTAGAGGAGATATCGAGTTACTGAATCTGCCACTAGGTAGTATTCTATACCACAGGGTAGCTGAAAGGAAATACTATTCTTCCTTCTCTCTCATCCATGTCATATGTATTGATTTGCAAAAGATAACAATAATTTTATGTTCTAGATTTTGTGACTTTTTTCGTTTTTATTTTCAGTGGTTTATAAATCAACATCTAAATTTTCGTCATAATGTTTTGCGTATTTTGTATCTGAATAAAGAGGAAGTCAGCAAGACTCATTTTATCTGACATGTTCAATCTCCTTTCAATATATATGTTAATCAGCAGGAACAGACTTTTTAGCACAATTATGAGAAATATTTCATTTATTATCCCAAGAAATATTTAGTAACACATGTTGTAAATGTTTTAGCACATAACAAGTTTATACATATAGTATAATGGACTTAAATAATAAGTCTATAAATTATTTTTGATGTAATCCAAGTGTGAACGAAAATTATAGAAAATAAAAATGCAGCTATTTTTCTAGTATATTTCTTATTTTCTAAACTTTATTTATTGTTCAAGATAAACATAAGATAAGAATACAGTGCATTTTATGCTATCGTGCTACATGTAATATATTGAATAATAAAGTGCAGTAGTCAAAAATAAGAAAAAAAATAGTCAAAGGAAAAAATTCAATTGATCTCCATTGTGCAATAAAAACTATTAAGTTTATAATAATTTCACAACAGTTTTACCAAATCCAGCTTTACCTTGTTTGAGGTTTTCAAGTGCATTCTGTACTTCTTCAAGTTTAACTATTTGACTAATATATGGTTTAAGTTTTCCTTCAATAATCCATTGAGCACCTTGTTTTAATTGATCTTGAACAAGTGTTTTAACATGTGCTCGTTCAGGTCCTAACCAATAACGTGTTACATCAGCTTGAACTAAATTTGCTTTTTGTTTAGCAACAAGTTTAGCTTCTGGACTGTCTTTTTCTCCAAAATGACCAAGAACAATCCAATGACCACCTTGTTTAACTGTTTGAATTGATTTTTCAAAACTTGATTCAACATAAGTAGCATCATAAGCAATATCAACACCTTGTTTTTGAGTTAGTTCAAGTACTCGATCGACTACATTTTCTTTAGCATGATTGATAACATCTTTAATATGATATTGTTCTTTAAGAATTTTAATTCCTTCATCTTTAGATGCTGATGTAATTATTTGTTTAGCACCTCGAATTTGAGCAATTTGTACAGCAAAGTGACCAACACCACCTGAACCACCAGGAATGAAAATTGATGTAGATGAATCAATATCAACTTGACGAAGTCCATCCTATGCAAAATTAAAAAAAAATGATTAGTTTCTAAACAAAAACGAAACAATTAATAGGGGAGAAAAAAAAGCATACCATAGCAGATAGAAACGCTATAGCAAGTGTTGCAGCATCTTCATGACTAATATTTGCTGGTTTCTTGACCAATGCATCAGCTTCTCCAACGGAATATTGTTGAAGTGCTCCTCCTCCATTACTTGAATTTAAATTTAAAAATCCAAAAACTTCATCACCAACATTAAAATCTTTCACACCTTTTCCAATAGCAACTACTTGACCGCTAACATCATAACCAGTAACAGCTGGTAATGTTGTATTAGCAAAATTAGATCCTGCCATTTTATAATCGACTGGATTGAGTGCGACAGCATGATTTTTAATTAAAACTTGATTATTACCTAATTGTGATGGTTGAATTACAGGTGCTGATGTTGTCCATTCAAATGGATTTTTATCACTAACTCTAACCCATTGTAATGCTGATTGAGTAGTTGGTATATTTTGTTCAGTAGATGCCATATTATTAAAAAATTCTATCTAAAAATAGAACATTTTTTTAAAAACATTTTCTATCTACGTATGTAAAAAGCACATATATGTAAGCATGACGATGCAGAACACAACGATGAATCATGGCAAACGTGTACAATGGACTTTGTATTTAATCGTTCTGTTCACATGAAGAAAGAAATAAACAATGTGTATCTATTGTTTTGTATAAGAATTGTAAAATGCTATGAATATAACCGGTAAGTGAATGAATGTTAGAGAAAGCAAAAGAAATCAAGATCAAAATAGCGTTGAGTGTTGTGACATCACCGGCAGCTCTGTTCTACAAGACTCGAAATAAACAACAAAAATATGTATAAACTTGTAGATGAATAAGCAGAAACTAAAGTTGACTTAATATTTCCAAAAGAAAATAGAATTCGAAAAAAAAAATTTAACAATTGTTTTTTGAATAATATTATACAGTTTGATGATAGTATAGAATCCCTCATTTCAATAAAAACAAGTGATTTAACATTGAATTGAATACAATATCAGCATCGAATCAATCAATCCTAATGAATTTTTCATTGTTATTAAATCATTAAAATACTAAACAATAAAATCTGTGATATAAATCTTAATTTTTATTTTATTGGCACTTTTACAAAAAAAAAACTAATAGTTCACAAACTGTGAATATCTATCTTTCGAAGGTTTCATTTAATAATGCATCTATTCAGCAATCATCGATCTACAGTCCATTGATAGAAAATTTATTATTCAAAATCGAAAAAAATACTAATTTTTTTTCCTATGTAGCTCACAATTCTTTTTCAATAAATCTATCATAATTGATAGAAAACATAGACGTTAATAAGTTTATTGAAACTCAACATTGTAAGTTTTATTTTATTTTTGAACACTAAAGTTACTTGAATAATTTATAATGAATTATTCGTCTTTGTATATTTCAATACAAAAATTGAAACAACAATAGTTTTCATTCGTTGAACACTGCAAAGATTCTTTCGTAAAACCTCTTCAAAGCTTCTGAAAAGGAAAAGATTTGTGTGTTTATTATAATGGACAATTTGGTTCATTACACGAAGAGTTTCATCAAAATTCATCTACTTATGATTATTACATGTTACTATTAAATTGGTTAAGATTTTCAAAAACTTATGTTGACATAAACTTAACAAAGGAAAGTTATATGTATTTTAGTGTCGCATAAAAGCTTGGATGCTTGTTTAAATATATTAGAACAAAAAATGGACGTTCTTCAATTTATTAGTAAATGAACTACAATAGATTTTCTATCTAAACATTATTTTACACTAAAATTCATTTAAAAGTTTTTGTTAATAGGTAGATATGAATCGATGATAAGATCACAGTGATCTCAGCACAATCTTTATGCATTAGGCTTTTTGACAATGTTTCAAAATATACGGTTTCATATCTTAATGTTAATGCCGATCATTTCAAACAATAGCTATGGATGAAATTATATGAAATAATGAAAAACTCATACGAATTATATGAAGAGTTATTGAAGTTTTTATTTCACGGTTGACTTGTGAAACACATTGTATCTATCAGAATACATTGATGGATTTTAATAAAAGACAATAGTTTATTGTTAATAGATTTCAAAGTCTCTCAATGTTATTTTTTCATTCTGACTAGTTTTGATGAATTATTGGTTAATAATACATCATAGTATTCTGATAAACTATGTGAAAGACATTCTTGTTTTAATGACTCATTGGCTAGGATCATGCAATTTGTGATTAATAGTTTTTAATAGAATTATCTCATGTAAAGTCAAGAATCTTTAATAAACTATTCGATAAATTGATTATCAATGTTAAAATGAATATTTTTAAGAATTGTAAAATAGTGATTAATTAATTTGTAATTTTTTCATTTTCGATGTTTCTCTATATCACACTATGCTATTGTTAATTGCATATAGTCCATATCTAGTACAATATATTATTTATTTATTCACTATGCTTGATAGACTGAAATCTTCTTTATGATCATATAATAGAAGTATTTTGAAATCAAATCATTTTGATCATTGTAATAATAGAAAGTTCATTTTTCATTGAATATTTTGTGTCATTTTTAGTGAAAGACTTTTTATTCAAGGGATACTATAACGGTACTTATGCAATGAATCAGTCAATAATTTAATCACCGTTCAGAATGATATAACGATGTACTTAAAGTTTTTTTTTAACTACGTTAATTTATCGAACAACTCAGATGTGTTATTTATTTTGATCAGAATAATATCTTAAAAAAATGTAAAGTAAAACATCTTATTAAATAAAAAAAAAAGTCTAATTATTTCCTTATTTATTTTCTTTCCATACAAATGACATTTTTTCCTTCGTAAGAAATATATATTTTCTCAATATAATCAAAGCATTTTCACGTGAGACTATAATTTTAATAGAATGTCATCTTAGATAAATGAATTATTTTTTATTTCTTAAAAATTTCATTGAAGAATTGGAAGAAAGTATTTTTGGATCTTACACATTCATCATCAAATAATGAACAATCAATTTTTCGTAAAATGTCCTAAGAAAGTCGTCGAAATCTATTTGATTCTAGTAAAAATAAGTAAATCAAATCTAGATCATATTGAGAGAATTCAAATTGAATAGAAAATTTCAATTCATCAAGTAACAAATGAGAAACAAATAAAACAAAATATCAATTTGATATGAACTATGTTTGATCAATGAGGCCATGAAAAGCCTTCTTATTTATAAAAGCACAGCTAAAAAAGTAGAATACGAAAAAAGGATTATGTCCAGTAACAAACAAACCTTGTAAGCATATTTTTTTGTAACATTCTTTCAAAAAATTTCCTTCTGAAATTTTAGATGATTGTTCATTCAAAAGAATAAATATCAGAGATGTAACTGAGCCCTGGAAACAAGGAAGGGAAAGAACAGAATGGCTGAACACCAACAAAAGAGATGCTATGTGGACAGCTTTCAAAATCAGGGAAAGAGTATTGTATAGCCGAAAGTCAGAAGCAGAGGGCGGCATGGCCCACCTGTCTCTGAAAAAGATAGATATATACATATGAAAGAGGATATAAATATTGATATACGATTAAAATAATGAATTATTTTGATGAAACGGTATACTTAATTTTATATAGAAAAATGTGTTTGAATATTTAATGTAACCTATTTATTTTATAATATAGTGTAATCCTTGATATGATAGATACAACAATCAAAGGGTAAGTTAAATTGATGAAAAAATTCAATTTAAAAGAAAAATAAATTCTATGAATCTGTATTCCAAATAGGTCCATTTGGAAATGAATATTGTTGTCGACTATTTTCTTTCATTTGCGTACTATAACCTGGTCGACTTGGTGCAACATATCGTGCATTTTTAATAACACAAGGATCTTCAAAATGTTCATGTAAATGATCAGCAAATTCTATAACACGATTTTCCCATGTTCCACTAACAACAACAAAATCAATCATAGATAAATGTTGTACAAGTTCACATAAACCAACACCACCAGCATGTGGACATACAGGTACATGAAATTTAGCTGCTAATAAAAGTACAGCTAAAACTTCATTAACTCCACCTAAACGACATGAATCAATTTGACAAAATTGTAAAGCATTTGCTTGTAACATTTGTTTAAATAAAACTCGATTCATTCCATGTTCACCTGTAGCAACACCAATATTAAATGGCTGAAGTGCTTGTGAAATACGAGCATGACCAAGAATATCATCTGGTGATGTTGGTTCTTCAATCCAATATGGACGAAATTCAGCTAAATGTTTCATCCATTCAATAGCTTGATCAACATCCCATACTTGATTAGCATCAATCATAATATGTCGATCATATCCAACTTCTTGACGAATTATTTTTAATCGTCGAATATCATCTTGTAAATCTCGACCAACTTTTATTTTTAAATGTGTAAAACCTTCATTGATAGCTTCTCGACATAAACGTTGAATTTTTTCATCTGAATAACCTAACCAACCAGCAGATGATGTATAAGATGGATAACCTTGTTCTTCTAGTTGTTTTATACGTTCAGATTTTGTTGTTTCAAGTTCTTTTAACATTTTTAATGCTTCATCAGGTGTTATTTCATCAGATATATAACGAAAATCAATACATTTTAAAAATTGTTCAGGTGTTAAATCAGAAATAAGTCTCCATAATGGTTTTCCTTCACGTTTAGCATATAAATCCCAAAGAGCATTAACAATAGCACTTAAAGCTAAATGTATTACACCTTTTTCTGGTCCAATCCAACGAAGTTGAGAATCACCTGTTAGATGATGCCAAAAAGCACCAGGATTTGAAATAAATTCTTCAAGTGTACGACCAATAAGTAAATGTGTATGAGCTTTTATAGCAACACAAATAATTTCTGTACCACGACCAATTGTAAATGAATGACCATGGCCTTCAAGTGATGGATTATCCGTATGAAGAATTACATAGGCTGATGAATAATCTCTATCGATTAAAATTAAGGAAAGTTTTAATTCTTTTTAATGATATAGAAAATCTTACGGATCAGGTGACATAGCATCACTACCATCGAGTTGTTTCGATGTTGGAAAACGAATATCGTCTACTGTAACTCCAGTTATGGTTGTAACATATGTAGAAGACATCATTGATTTGTTTAGATTGAAGTAAGAAACTAGACTATTAGTATCATATATGAAAAAAGATAAGAGTAACACACCGACTTTCTTTTCTTATCGTTTTATTTTGTTTTGTTTATGTATATATATACACTTGGTTTACTTGACCTTCGTTGGATTTTATATTTTGCTTTTCCTTTGTTCGATATTACTTGAGGTAGGTCAAAATCATGTTATTCTTTAGAGAGTGTCTAGTTATCATTTTTTTTTTGCCAACCAACTTCAATAGTTTAGAGGTGCTGGATTTACTAAATAATAATACAAGTAGAAGTTGTGTTCTTTTTTCTTTTTATTTCAGGTGTGCCTTGAAAGGTAAGCTTTGATAGATAAAAAGTAAAGAAAAACATTTGACTTATATAATAATTAGGTTAACTCAGTGTATTATAATTTTTAGACAAAGCATCATGTAGGCTTTTTTTATTGTAGTATTCAAAAATTCTTTTGCAAATAAGCCATCTAAATTGATCATGATTTTATTCGAAATATTCATCGACCAAATCGAGAAAATTCTATTCATTTTTGACTATTTTAACTGTAAAAACTTTTTTAAATTTTTATTCAACTTTCTATCGATCAAGTTTGGCTATAGAAATATAAACATTACAATATTAAATGAAAAAAGATTTAAAGCACCTATTCGATCTTGTTGTAATCAATACACCATTTAGGTTTTACGATAATAAACTATATTTACTCGTAGACGAAGCCAATATGAGAAGCCGTTAAGCTCCCATACTGGCTAATATATTCATGGAACATATTGAAAAAAAAATTAGAACAATTTCAAGATAATCATAAAATTAAATTTTATCAAAGATATATTGATGATACGTTTATTATTATAAACGGAAAAACATGTGACATTGATAAATTATTAAAATATATTAATTCACCACATCCAAATCTCACACTTACAAACGAAATAGAAGACGATCCAAATTAACATTTTTAGATGTTAAAGTAATAGAACAACAATTCGTAGAAAGAAAATGCATACAAGTCAATTACTACACTGGTCCAACTGCCAAACAAAGAGATATAAGATAGGTTTAATAAAAACTCTAATATTTCATGCATTAAATATTTGTTCGTCAAAGACTTCATTAAAAGAACAGTATAATTTAATTGAAAAAGCATTAGTCGAAAATGGATATTCAACTAACTTAGTAAAAAGAAAAATTAATAATACTATACAACAATATAGCCAATCTATTTCACCAAAACCATTAAAGAAAATGTTCTTCGTACTACTTACATCTTATGGAAATGAAACAATTATTATGACAAACAAAATTAAATCTATTTTAGAAAAAACTTATCCTACAACAAAAGTAATAGTTCGATTTAAAAAAGGTTTAACCATTGATAAATTATTTAAGAAAAATTATAAAGATATCGATTCAATAAATATTGGTGGAGTGTACAAACTGTGTTGTTCAAAATGTTCAACAAACCTACACATGACAAACACAATAAAATGTAAAAGAACATAGGAAACAACATCATGAAGGTTTAAAAGATTCTGGTAAATTAAGTGTAGCTGTTTATATGTTAAACAATTTTAATCATGTAATTAATTTCAAAGATCTATAAATATTAGCCAGAGATATATCAACAAAAAAGACATGAAATAAAAGAAAGATTATGTACATTTAAATATAGCAATGCTTACAACAAACCTAATCATGAATTAGCCATATCCAATTAATTAGCAAGCGGAAATAACATTGCAATGTACAAACAAACGTTTCTTCTCTGGCATTGCAATGTTAACGAAAAGAAGAACGAAAAGAAAAGAAAATAATAGTTGTACATATCATAATAAAAAAAAATTTTATATCCTTTGCTCGTCATTTGTGTTGAAAATGGACCCCTAGTCAATTCTCTCTTAGCAACTCTCCAGGGAGTTAAGCAAAAAATCAAAAAGTGTCTAGCAAAATTTCTGTCGA